ATTGATCCTTTGCCTTGCCATTGCCCTTTCTCTGCATTACCAGGCCTGGACCAAAGACTAGCTTTATTTTTGACTGGCATTTAGCCCACTCCTGATTTTCTTTATCATGTTGTTCTAATAATTTTTGTTGGATTCTTTCCTGTATTGTTACACGTTGCCTGTGGTCCAGTCTTTAGTCTATTTTTACTAAAGTCCTAGATCTGCTCTGGAATCTGAGCAAATTGCGGAGTCATTTTCTTTCTTTTGCCTATTTAATTAATAAACCAACTGAATTGGACTCCTGCTTTTGGGTCCTTTATACAGACATTCCTGACAGTTTGGAATGCACCATGTATCTTCTGCAGTGTGTAAAACTTAATAGTACCACCCACATTAGTCTATTGCTTTCAAATTCTCACAGACCTCTAGGACTTGTGCGGCCATGTGTGCCAAAGGGCGGTTTTACAAATAACCATGCTTTAACTTTGGCATGTTTTTTTTGTGTGTGTATATATATATATATATATATATATATATATATATATATATATATATATATATATATATATATATATATATATATAATTTTGAATATCTAACAAATTATTTGGTGGACAAAGGTGGCTATTGAGGCACTGTGACATGTTAGAAGAGGTAGGTCCTACCATCTGGTAAAGATTAACAATTCTACAATGTATGGTTTGGTCTACTTGTTTATTCTTAGGGCAGAAAGCATGGTGACATTTGGTTTTATCCAAAAAATCACATTAAGGCTACAGTGCTATGCCTAACCCTTTATCATTCTTCAAAATGGTGTTTGACTGTTTAGAAATTGATCTTCTAAAAGTGGTAAATGCTTCACTTCTCTAAGGCATTTTTCTCTTAAAACTGCAGTTGTTAAACCCCTCATGAAGAACAACCTGAATAACACCCTATTGACCAATTACAGGCCAATCTCAAATCTCTCTTTCATTGGCAAAATCATTGAAAAAGTTGTTTTCAAGCAGATTAAAAAGTTCTTAAACTTCAAGAGGTGTTTAGACAATTTTCAATCTGGTTTCAGACCACATCACAGTAGAGAGTGCTGTTTTAAAGATAATCAATGATATACGTCTAAATACAGATTTAGGCAAACTAACAGTGCTGGTATTACTCGATCTCAGTGCTGCATTTCACACTGTCGATTACACCATACTTCTGGATAGGCTGGAAAACTGGGTTGCACTGTCTCGGACAGTCCTCAGATGGTTCAGACCTTGAAAGGAGTGGTTACTATGTCAGAATAGGTGACCATAGGTCAAGGTGGACACCCATGACATGTAGAGTCCCACATGGCTAGATTCTGGCACTTTTGTTGTTGAACCTTTAAATGCTCCCTCTGAGCCAAATAATGAGAAAGAACCAAATCTCCTACCACAGCTATGCTGATGACACTCAGATCTACCTAGCCTTAATGCCTAATGGCTACAGCCCCATTGACACCCTCTGCCAATGCATTGATGAAATTAACAATTGGATGTGCCAAAACTTTCTTCAGTTAAACAAAGAGAAAACTGAAGTAATTGTGTTTGGGAACAGAGATGAGGTTCTCAAGGTGAATGTGTACCTTGGCACTAAAGGTCAAACAACAAAAAATATGGTAAAGAGTCTTGGTGTGACTCGGGAGTCAGATCTGAGTTTCTAAAGTCATATCAAAGTTAGTAAATTGGCATTTTGTCATTTCAAAAACATTCCATCAAAAACATTGCATCAGCAGCAGGGTGGATTACTTTAACAGCCTCCTCACATGCCTTCCCAAAAAGACAGTCAGACAGTTGCAGCTCATCCAGAATGCTGCAGCCAGGGTTCTGACCAGAACCAGGAAATCAGAGCACATCACACCTGTCCTCAGGTCTTTACACTGGCTGCCAATTACATTTAGAATAGATTTTAAAATATTATTACTTGTCTATTAGGGATGTAACGGTATCAGAATTTCACGGTACGGTAATACCTCGGTATGAATGTCACGGTACGGTATTTATTGAATCATTTACAGGAAAAAACGAAACTTATGAAAATACTCCAAAAAAGTGCCAAAAGTGTCAATGACATACAAATTAGCCATCTATCTGTAAGCTTTGAAACAGGAACTTCAATTTTAATAACAAAAAAATATTAAACCATGTAAAAACAATAAAGTTTCAATTTAGTATTGTTGAAAACTCATCACATTCAACATTTAATCACACTCAGCCCATCTACACAGATGAGAGCTCTGCTAGTCGGACTTCTCATCAAGCATCTCCCGCTGGATCTAATCTCACTATATTTATTAAACGGGATATTTCATTTATCTTGTTATCTTTATCTAACGACATATTCCCTGACTTTGGTCATTGGAATCTATTACTTGTTCTCAGGTAACGTGTTTTGGCTGAGCGCAAAGATAAGTTAATGATTAATGTAACCACGTACATTCTGTATATTGACTGATCGCTTGCCTTTATTTCCTATAATGTATAAACTTATTGTATGTTATACTTTTAAAATGGCCATTATCGATTATTAAAACTGATACTCAGCAAAAGAGAGGCTGTGTTTCGTATTTTCACTGAAATTGAAAGGAGGCAGTTGTTATCGGCTCCGTTTTGTTATAAATATCCACACAGTGAAGATGACGCTCATCTTATGCAGCAAGACGCCTCAACATGTCTGCTGTCTAAGTTGCTAATATTAAAATGAAAATAGGCAGTTCCTTAAATCATGTTTACATTTTATTGTTGATAAAGTGAAACAACGAAGCCAGGGTGATGTGAATGAAGTTATAAAGTACACTGTTCCCTTTGAAGATTTACCCGTGTCCTCGGTATAGTCTGCTTTTCCATATCAAACTGAGAAGAAGAGACTGCAGCCTTGATCAAACTTGCGAAGTCTGAACTTACAAGGAGAGGATGCAGGACTGAACTGTGCGTGTTAGGCTACTTAATATTCAGGAAAAGCCCCAATCAGAGAGGCGAACGTCTGCAGCCCCGCCTCCGTTTTCAGATGTCTCCGCTTTCCACTATCCACACTGAGACATTATCCACACATTTCGAAACGCTCCGTTTTCGGCGCTCGAGAACTCCGGCGTAGTGTGGACGGTTGGCGTAACCGTAGCAAAACTTATGCGTTTTCAAACTAAAACGTGTAAACGGGGCCTTAGAGTTTTCCAGCTCTTTTCATCCCCGCTTCTAGCAGCACACTCCATTTCCGCATTACTGGATCTGTAGCGACAACAGACCGCAAGGGATGATGGTCAAGCATGGGCTAATGGGTATTGTAGTTTTCGCTACCTCCCGTTCGCTTCATTCGCCTAAGCAAATTTTCTCAGAAGACCTATAGTTTTACCGAGTCATGCGACTTCGGTAATATCGAAAAAAATGAATATTGCGGTATGACGGTATTTACAATACCGTTACATCCCTATTGTCTATAAATCACTAAATGGCCTAGGACCTCAAAACATTACAGATATGCTTACTGAATACAAACCCAACAGATCACTCAAATCTTTAGGGGTGCTTTCACATCTGTAGTTCGCTTAATTTGGTCCGGACCAAGGGTAATACATTATACATTGTTGCATCTTCTGCCATCTTTGGGTCATTTTCACACCACACTGCTGGCTTTGGTCCGAACCAGTTGAAACAAACCAAAGTGCAGTCATCTGACAAAATCCACATCTCTCATTGGCCAGATGTTGTTGAACATATTTCCTAAACTTCTTATTGATTGGTCAGAATTCACGTGCGGGGAAACACCAATGAACTCCCGCAGGTAAACAAAACCGACAGACACAAAATGTCGCTTTTACTCTGGAGGGACGACTGCGCTGACTGATTGTATTCCTGCTTTAGACAAACTACACATTACAAAAAAAAAGCGCGGCCGCGGCTGGAAAACAGTGTTTAATGCATCACTCGTCACTTCAGGAGGAGGTGTGAATTAATTTAGCTAAACTGCGACATAGTCATCTTGCGGAAATATTATCAACGATCCATCAGGTAATGTTTCCCCTCTCTCTCTCTGTTAATAAAGCTCTGTCAACAAATATTTTTCCTCCATATTCCATAATGCACAGCGCATCAGCCTACGGCAGCAGAATTAGTCCAAAACACGCAGTACTTTTTGCGGTTGGACCTGTTTTAGTACGGATCATATTCTCACCACAAACGAACCGCTCCAGGGTTTGTTTGAAAGCGTACCGAGACCACCTCTTCAAGCAGGTCTCGGTACGCTTATTTGGTCCGCTTTTGGTGCGCACTCGAGTACGATTGCTGCATTCTTACCTGCCCAAACGAACCGTACCAAAAGGGGAAACGAACTCTAGTGTGATTCAATCGAACTAAATAAGACAGTTGTGAAAGCACCCTAGGATCATATAAACTAGAAATTCAGAAGAGTTCAGTCAAAGCAGGGTGAATCGGCTTTTAGCAACTATGCCCCTCGCTGCTGGAATCAGCTTCCAGAAATGATCAGATGTGCTCCAACATTAGGCACATTCAAATAAAGACTAAAAACACATATGTTTAGCTGTGCCCTAACTGAATGAGCACTGTGCTACGTCTGACAGATTGCACTATTATGACTTTCTTGTCTTTTTCATTATTTTATAAAATATTTTAACACATTTTTATCTGTTTTTTAAGTCATTTTTTATTATTATTTTTTTACTTATACTTGTCTCTTTTATTCCTGTTTATGTAAAGCACTTTGAATTGCCACTGTGTATGAAATGTGCTATATAAATAAACTTGCCTTGCCTTTAAAAATGTTATAATCATGATACCTGCTTTATGTCTGAATAAAATTTTCAATAATTACAATAGGAATTCAGTGCTACATGTTAGAACCCCTAATAAAATAATAAAAATCCTAAGGAATACAATAGGGTTCCTGTGCTACATGCTTAAATCACAAAAAAAAAAAACACTGTGAAATGTGTGAATATTATACTTATGCAAATACATTTAGCATAAAACAATTTTAAGACACTTTACCATTTTGAGAGCTCGTTCAATGTCGATGCCTTGACTCCAAGGGACAGCAGGGTTGGCCAGACAATCACCTGCACTGCCTCTTCTGGACACATCTACTCGTTGTCGTCTCAGATACCGAAACGCCTCCGCAATGACCAGGATAGCATCATAAGACAGCGCTGAAGTATACTGTAGACAACCATTCAGCACCTCACATTAGTAGTTATTTGTTAGGAGCAGTTTAAAATAAGCAATCACATTATCTCTAAGTAAACACTTTGAAGAGGGTCAAACAAGTTGCTCTCTTTCGTGTCTGCCATCGTGTTGATGTACATAATGACAGATAATTGCTTTTCATTTCTGCGTGTAATCATGTTTACCAAATGCAACTAAATATGACAAACTGCAGGGATGTAGTCTGTGCATAGTTTCCTGCTATTTAAAGAATGTTAACCAGGTTGCTAATTACAGAGATCTGGAAAATGTCTGAGACAGTATTGCTGCAATTGATGTTCATAGATGCAACCTGTAATTAAATCCCATTTCATGCTAGTAAAGAAAATCACTTGCATTTTGTAATTTTGCATAGTAAAGTGATCCTTGTCAAGAATGGTATTACCCATACTCAAAATTTTAACCCATCTAAATGCACACAAACATTTAAGGTGAGGAGTGAGAGCACACAAACACGGTGAGCATGCACCTAGAGCAGTGGGCGGGTATTGCTTTCAATGCCCAGTTAGCAATTAGGGGTAAGGTGCATTGCTCAGGTGCATTGCTCAGCACATTAATTTACTTCCACCACCTTCAATTCCTGCTGAGACTGGGAATTGAACCTGCAAACTTTCAGTTACAATTCAAACTTGTAACAACAAAGGTAGGATTGAAGGATATTTTATACTGTATACTAAATTTGAAATAAATGATGCCTTCACAGTCTTTGATATGTTTGAAAAGATCTGTCAAATGCTCACACAAACAAAGTGACAGAATAAATATAATTTAAAGGGCACCTATGATGCAAAATCAACTTTTGGAAGCTATTTAGACAGAACTGTGTATAGGTAAAGTGTGTCCACAGTTGTATTGGAGTGATTTAAACATAAATCTCTTTTTTATGTTCCCTGACATTAAAATAGAATCCAAATCCTTGCAATTTTGAGGCCAACCAAATTAATTGACAGCCACATACTAATATGTCTCCATAGTAATGCATATAATCGCATCCAAAAGAAAGGACTTGCAAAGTAAATGGGGTTAAAGATCTGTTTCAACTCTCCGTAATTAGCTGCAGCTTAAGAAGGAGTTTTGGAGTTAAAAATGTTTTAAAAACAGTGCATGTTAATAAAAAAGACAGTAAAATTGCTGTGTATGTTATCACCACAGCCATAGTGTCAGTACAAATTATAAAACAAGATACTTCAATCCCAGTTTGTGGGTGTCAAATCAGGTTTATTTTGTACATTAACATAACGGAGTGTATATTAATGTGTATCCGGCCACATTTGCCTTGCAAAAACAGTGCAAAGTTAAGCGTGTGTTTTTGTGTACTGCGAACTTTGTAATAGCATTCTGTGTGACTGATCATTGCAGAAAAGTTTGAATTAAAGCCACAACAAATACATCAAATAGAGACACAGCAATAGAAGAAGACACGCATCACAGCCATACCCACATGGGAATGATGGGCGGGGAGAACCAGCTCATTTCATTAAAGGGTCACAAAACACCAAAACACATTTTTTGAGCTGTTGACAGTCGTATATGTGTCCCACACTGCTAAAAACACTATTAGGGCACCTATATTTCACTAAAAAGTGTAAATTGGTTGTTTTTGCGTTATTTCAAGCAAATTCGTACTTCCGGTTTGAAACTAATTTTTGAAGCTGCGTCACAGTCATGACATAATAGCGTTGTATTTTAGAGTGCAGACTGGGCATCTGTGCCAGAGTGAGTCTTATTACGTCTTACAGTGTGATGCATTAATGCATGAGTAAGGCTTGGTTTAAACCAATCAGCGTGCTCTATTGTGCAACTTCATTAATATTCATTACTGTCATAGTGTTTATACGACAGAGACGCCACGTTGTGTTGGCAAAACAAGCGTGAAGTGTTGCTTTTATAGTTTGCTGCCGTTAAGTTTTGTTTTCATTTTCTCTCTGTGAGAGCTCAGCTGGAGTCACGTGTGGATTAACAGTGTACGCGACGCTCGACAACAATAACTTACGTGTCTAAGGAGGATTATTGTTTACCTGAAAGCTGTTCTCATCTACAAACGCTGATATCCGGATTTGCTTGTAGTCTCCTCTTAATAAAGACGCGGCTCTAGTTGCTGGTGATTGTCCTGTCTCTACAGATTTGGTAAGTGAGCGACCAGTGCTCTTTGTTTATTCAGTTCGTATTTTATTTGTATCAAACAAACTATTGCACCGAGTGTAAACAAGTTAGCACTACAACAAAACTATAACCTCGTGTAGGATTTTGTGACCGGAATAACATACGCGGCTTTCTGACGCCACCTGCCGTGTGCATCTAAGTTTCCGGAAAGTGCTGAGTTTTTTTTCTCTCATTCGCCGTGCGGTATCAAACATTGCATGAAAATACACGCTTAGAGCAGTTCCTCGAATCAAATATCACGTTTGTGGCGAGGGACATGAATGAATTCCCTGAATGAAAGAGCCAAACTGCAGTTAAAGTCCACCATTTAATAATTTGGCAAATAATTCGACTACAGCTGTCCATGTAAACACAGTCACTTTGTCTGCTGTGGTTGTGTGTTTTGACTCTGAAATTCAGCGCGCCCAAATAGACACTCCCACACCAAGCCTCTTTTCTTCCTCCGACACTCCCCCCTAAACAGAGCTGGACACGCCCACTTTTCCGACTTTTTCTAAAGTAGAGGTGTGAAAACACACTGCTGAAACGAGGGGGTTTCATGGCCCTTTAAAGGCAACCCTCAAAATTCCCATATATAGAAAAGTAATAAATAATATGATGGGTATTTTAAACAGAAACTTTACAGACACATACTAGAGACACCGAAGACCTGAAGATTTTGAAAAAGAAATAAAATTGGTGCCCTTTAAAATATGTTCATTCATCTCATAATTATTGTTTAATTAGATGTAAAATGATCTCCAGTTTTAATGAAGAAAGAAATAAAGAAAGAAAGAACAAAATAAAGACAGAAAGAAAGAAAGAAAGAAAGAAAGACAGAAAAAAAGAAAGAAAGAAAGAAAGAAAGAAATGTTACAGGAATAAGTGACAATGACATGCTATAGTTGATTTGATTTTTTTAAATTGTTGTTTCAGACCTTCAGAGGTGTGTTTTTGGCTTCAGGAAATTCTCTTTCATCAAGACGGTCCCATCTTTGGAGAAACTGCTGTACAACTAAGTTTTCAGGATTAATTATCTGAAATCCACTAATGTTTGCTCCACCAAGGAAGACCTTGTCCAGGCTAATGTTGGTGAAGCCCTGTGAAAAGAGATTATGAAAAAAAAGCTTTAAATATAAGTATTTTCATTTACACACACTCATAGACAGACACACACACACACACATTAAATTTACATTTAGCTGCTTTATTTTTGTTTTAAAGGTTTAGTGAAGGGGTAATTTTTGACCCTATGGGCAAATGTTGTATACAGAATCCTAAGATAACACGGGGGTTAAAGTAAAACTTTACATATATTGCTGTCATTAGCATTTAGAAATGCATATGGTAGCCCACTTGACAGTAAGTATCAACACATAATAGAGAATTGTAATTGAAGTGACATTTGAATTAAAGGAGGAACTAAAGCATAGTTTATGTGACAATAAATGTAAAACTATAGTTATTAACATTTATACTACTACTACTACTACTACTACTAGTATAACTAATAGTAATAATAATAACAATAAACACAATTGAAATAAAGAAACAATCAGTTAACAAATGTACATGATTGTATGATAGATGTTTTCTTGACATATTATTGTGATTTATGTTGAATATTCTAACATTGTGTGCTATACACTTTAGACCAGTGTTTCCCAAGTCTGTGCCTGGAGGCACACCAACAATACAGTACATATTTTAGGAGACATCTCCAGATAAGGGAGACATCTCCCTTATCTGACCCATTCATTTCAGCATTTTTCAAGTCTCTTCTTGTATTTATGTGACACCCCAAATAATTGTTTGCCACAATTGATGACATTAATAATGGTACACATATGTAAATATATAAAGGGAATGGTGGTTCCGCCAGAGCTATATAGGCTGCTAAGATAGAGCAGCGCGTTATTCAGCATTTTCTGGGTATTGAAAATATGTACAATTTGTGTGCCTTCATGAATAGGGAAACACTGCTCTAGACTAGTAGGTTGTATAGGTTTAAATTATTTCTGATTTTCACACCTTTATTATTCTTGCCTGAATATAATGTATTGCATTATTAAAATGATCCTTTTCTATTTATTCTGGGTATCTATGGTCATGCAGGCTGGCAATTTATGAGGCTATGACATCATATTGTGTGGCCACAACAAAAAGATGTCATGACAATCATGCCACGACTTGTGTTAATTCGGCATTGCCACTAATTAATATACTATGGTCAACAGATTTTTTCATGTTCTCATGAGAATATGTTGTGGCCTCACATAACTAAACATTTACTTATCAAAGGGCAGGTTTAGCAGTAATTTCAGGACCTAAAACTCACCAGATTGGCAATAATGTAATGGTAGCCCCGACTGTTCTTTCCAAGTGTCACAACCTACAAGAGAGAGAAAATCAGTAAGTGTTTAAAATTCATGTGAGAAGTACAAAACCCTTATATCATCCCTCATGTGAGCTTCACTCTCTTTTTACTCTGTTTCAACTAACACACTCAATGCTGTATTTTTCCACATGCAGCAATGACATTCTTCAGTGTGGTCATATGAAACTATGCTGGTCAACAGAAACACACACTGCAAACACTCTCTATATCTTTAATTTAGGAGCAGCCTTAATTTTTTATGCACACGGTTTGACCTAGAGTAACCAAAATTAAAATGCATCAGCACAAACTACACACTCACAGTTAGCACTCCATCAAATAGGAAGTCTGCTTTTATTGATGATTCAAACAACAGGAAAAAAAAATTGCTTTGGAAATTTAAATGCCCCTTCTAGACATTTTATCCAACAACTACAGAATCTCTGTAGCATTAGAGATGCTAAATAGTGAGTAGATTGTTGATATATTTAATAGTTTGCCTATGACAAAGTGATTAATTATGGTGAGAAAGAGGCAACAGGAAGTGTTTAATAACACTGACATACATACACTGATTCTGATCAATTTGTTTTCAAATGGAGCACACAGACTTTTCATTTTTAGACAGCTAGCCCAACTGTCTTTCTATAACAAAATCACCACGTCTCAGAGTTGTTGTTTTTTTTTTTAATAAGATTCTTTTCAAAAAATCTTCACTGCCCAAGAGATATATAATATAAAGTGGGTCTCAGACTGGATAAGAAGCACTGTGTTAAATTCCAGTTCTCCCCAAAAATGTTTTTAAAATATGAAAACGTATTTTACCCCAGTATTTTCAGTGGAGTTTCCAAACTAGCCTTCTAATCCTGACAACACTAGAGTTTACACGATCTATCATCGCATTTTACGTTTGAAAAAGTAAATTAATGGTTAAGTTTATGTATTCATTCATTCATTCATTCATTCATTTTCTTTACGGCTTAGCCACTTTATTAATCCGGGGTCGCCACAGCGGAATGAACCACCTAAGTTTATTTAACTGAATGTATTTTAGTTAGTCACATTAACCTTTACCTGAAGTTTATCATTGGCTGAAAAACATTAGCTGTACACATTCCCCATTGTCTTTTGTGAGTCTTGGTCCCACTAACTGACTGAAAGAAAAGTGTCACTTTTGAAATGTTTTAAAATATCAGAATATATTAATGCAATGTTCTTTAATGCCTGTCAGATATTAATGTTAAGACACGATGTAAAGCTGAGAAAATATCTCTGATATCTTAAACAGTGTTGTATGTCAATGACTCAAACTTTTAAATTCTTCTTGGGGGATCTGAGGCACATAACAGGCTCTGAATTTCATAAAACACATGCACATCAGAGATATAATTTGTTAGACAGGCAAAAGTACAGTAATGGTTAGATCAAGTGCCAAATTGTGCATAATATATGGGGGTGGTAAACAAAAACTTTTTAATTTAGAGTCATTAGTACTGATATACCAGATAGAAGTGATTTTGATGTGAAAAAAATCTGACAACAAATTCTGAAAATAATTACTCCAAAAAAATAAGACTGTAATGTTAAGTTTGTTCAATTCATTTGGTCATAGAATAAGAAATCATTTACTAGGCCACAATCCCACACTCCCTTATCTCTGACCTTTCATATCAAATTCACATTCTTTACATGTACAGTTTAAATACTCCTTTAAATATTCCCTGGTGTCCCCAAGTTTCTTGATGTGATTGTTATTTAGAATCGCTTAAAGTTTTCATGGCAGTGCACCAAGTTTATCTCTTGACACAATCCTGATGATTTATGTATATTTTTTATGATCTTTTTCACTTTTTTGCAAACATTTGAAAAATGTCCTAAATATTTTGTGAAATATCTGAAATTCCAACTACAAAATATATTTAAGAACATAGATCGATACAAGAAGTTAGAGATGCCATCAAGCTGAAGAAGGAATCCTGTACGGCTTGGTTGGCTTATAGGACTCCTGAGGCAGCTGATGGGATGTGTTGCAGCAGAGGTGTTTGCATAAGCAAAAACTCACACCAGGGAAGAGTTCAGGGGGACTATGAAGGAAGACAAATGGTCGGGCCCAGAGAGATTTGGGCAAACCATCCCGCGCCTCAGGAGGGGAATGTAGTTCCACACGGAAACTGTTTACAGCTGAAGTAGGGAGCTGTTAACCTCAACTGGGGATATTGTTGGACGATAGAACGGATACTTTGAGGACCTCCTCAACCCCACTGACATGTCTTTCATCGAGAAAGCAGAAAATAGGGATGCAGGGGTGGACTTACCTATTACCAAAGATGAGGTTACTGAGTTAGTCTGCAAGCTCTGCACTGGCAAAGCAACGGGGGTAGATGAGATACATTACAAAATAAAAAACAGACACCTAAAAATGGTTCCCATTTTAAGAACTTAAAAATAATTCCCATTTTAAAAAGGGGGACCGGAGAGTGTGTTCCAACTATAGAGGGATCACACTCCTTAGCCTCCCAAGGAGTCAGGGTACTGGAGAGGAGGATCCTTCCAATGGATGAACCCAGGATCCAGGAAGAACAATGCAGTTTTTGTACAGGCCATGTGTGGAGAGGTAAGCATGATCGAATACCCAATAAAGGGGGAGAGCATGCTCAGAGCCCGGCGGCTAATCAGCAGGCCAATCCGAAATAATAAGCAACACCTGTTTATTCTAGTGATTGGACCGGAGAGACACCCATCTTAAGGAGAACGGGAGGAACAGTCGGGAGAGAGAGCTGAACGATGGCCACATAGTGGGAGCTGTCCTTTACAGTTGATAAGAAAACAAAAAAATCTGTTACTTACCTCAACGCCGACCCTGTCTTCTTCTTCCCACACAAAGAACCTTTGTTACACCATGGTACACTGAACAAGTTCTATACCCTCACCAGGGTGCTCAAGGGTTCATGAGAGCATTCCAAACCAGTCCACATGTGTTTTGTGGACTTGGAGAAGGCATTCAACAGTGTCTCTAGAAGCATTCTATTAAGGGCTGTCTGATCCCTGTATGAACAGATTTGAATTGCATTTTGGAAAATAAGTAGGACTTGTTTCCATTGCATGTTGGACTCTGGCAGGGTGGCTTTTTGTTATCAATTCTCATTATAATTTTTATGGACAGAATTTCAAGGCGCATCCTTGGGCCAAAGGTGGTGCACTGGGGTGGTTTGCTGTCGAGTGTGACGCAGCTGGGATTAGAATCAGCATCTCCAAGTCTGAGGCCATGGTGCTCCACCGGAAAAAGGTGGCTTGCCATCTCTAGGTTGGAGGAGAGTCCTTACCCAGTTGAAGGAGTTCAAGTATCTTGGGGTTTTGTTCATGAGTGAGGTAAGGATAGAACGTGAGACGGACAGGCAGGTCGGTGCAACGGCAGCAGTAATGCAGTAGATTTACTGGTCCATCAAGGTAAAAAAAAGGGGCACCCTTATAGGTAGGGTGAGGAGCTCTGTCACCCGAGAGGAGCTCAGAGTAGAGCCGTTGCATTCACATAAAGAGAAGTCACCATAGGTGGCTCAGGCATCTGTTTCGGATGCCTCCTGAATGCCTACCTAGGGAGGGGTTTGAGGCATATCCCATCAGAAGGAGGCATCGGGAAAGATCCAGGACACCCTGTAGGGACTTTATCTCTGACCTGGCCTGGGTACATTTTGGGATCCCCTCACAGGAGCTGGAGGAAGTGTCTGGGGAGAGGGAGGTCTTGAATTCTCCCCTGAAACTGCTGCCTCCGCGACCAGGCCCCAAAAAATTGGAAGAAAATAAATGAATGAACATGCATTTTCCTGTTTAAACAGCTTAATGATCACACTATTTCTTTGATAATGGGTGTCATCATGTTAAGTGGAATTAGCAGAGCTGTAGGATTTGCTGCATGTTAATTCATAAACTTCTCCTGAATTACGTGAAAGTATTTGACTGCATTACTGGGAGAGGAATAGAGTAATTTGAAGAGTAATCCAAAGAGTATATATTTTATGTGATTAAAGCACATTTTCCAGTTATCTTTAAACATTATTATTATTGCTGTCTCTATAGACATCTGCATGTATTTTACAAACCAATAATGTTATGCTTTGCTAGTACTTAGGTGTATTTGAATATCTAAAACTTAAATTGAGTTTGTTTAAAAACAACTTTTATGAGGAGCACTTTGCACCTCTTTCTATGCCTCAGTGTGATAAATCATGGGAAATAGGTTTAAAGTTAGCTGTTGATGCTGTACGTTTTGAATGTTCTAATCAAACTGGTGAGTTTGTATGCTTGTCTTTAGACTGTGGGGGAAAGTGGAGCTCTCTGGAAACTCACACGACACATGGCGAAGGCCTAGGAATCAAATGCATAATCTTGCTGTGAACCCACAGAGCATCTCCAGAGATGCTCAATTGGGTTTGTGTCAGGGCTCTGTCTGGGCCATTCAAGAACAGTTACGGAGATGTTGTGAAGTCATTCCTTCGTTATTTTAGCTGTGTGCTTAGTCTAGTCGCAATAATCTTTCCCTAGATTGCAACCTGTCGTCCCGTCCCTGCATCTGAAAAATACAGCCACCACTATGCTTCACTGTTGAGACTGTATTGGACAGATGATGAGCAGTGTCTGGTTTTCTCCACACATATTGTTTAGAATTAAGGCCAAAAATTAGTATTTTGGTCTCATCAGACCAAAGAATCTTATTTGTCACTATCTTGGAGTCCATCGGATGTTTTTTAGCAAACTTTATGTGGGTTTTCATATGTCAGGCCACTCTGCCATAAAGCCTCAACTGTTGAAGGGCTGCAGTTACAGTTGACTTTCTACAACTTTCTCCCATCTCCTGACTGCATCTCTGGAGCTCAGTGGTCTATGGGTTCTTCTCCACTGATAGAGAGCCAACTCTAGGATGGGTCTCAAACATCTTTTATATAAGGATTATGGAGGCCAATGTGCTCTTAGGAACCTTAAGTGCAGAGTCATTTTTGTAACCTTGGCCTAATCTATGC